TTCCTACATATAAGCAACAAGCGTGCAGGAATCTCATAGGGCTGTGCATTAATGGGTAGTACGGGAATTGGGTACCCGATTGAAAACAACGTGGGTACTCCCAACAAATGTTGTGCAAACCCGACCCAAAACCAGCCCGACCCAAAACCGACTTTGGGTTGGGTCAGGGCGGTTTGTCCATCATTTCAGTCGGACCGGGTCGGTTTCGGTTTTGCATTTGCGATTTTTGGATCGGGTCTGGACGGTTCGCCCGAAATAACCCCCCAAAAAACCCGAAAATTCACACGGTGCAATATTTATTGCAGGGCCACTGCGCCCAGTATGACCAACTGTGGTTTGCGGTCTATTATGCACGGTCTAGTACATGTAGGCCCACCGGTTGGTCATGTCGTGAGTCTTGACCGTATCGTACGGTATGATTCAGGCACTGGGAGATGATGATTTTCACGCGACACAGGTATAAAGTTGAGGCACAAAAAGTGGACACAGCTGCGGGTCTTTTTTCGGGTCAGTTTGGTTCGGTTTTCCTTGTTTTTTTGTCGGGTCGGGTCAGTTTTAGGGAGTTCACATCGGTTTTGGTTCGGATATGGTTTGTGTCTATAATGTTTCAGGTCAGTTTGGCCTGATCAACCCAACCCGATGCACAATATTACAAACGTAAAGGAGATTTCCAAAGTTCAGCTTTTTTAACGCCTTTTTCAGCTGTTTTCAGCTATTTTTTATCAGTGGTCACTCACACTCCTGATAACTTGCAAAAGCTTTCTTTTTCATGGCCCGAGTAGTTACAATATGTTAAGTCAATTACAGGTACTCGATTCCATAATCTGGAACCTGTTCTTGACATCAGCGGTTGGGTAGTCGGGTACGATGCACAGGCCTCATTCTCAGCTCATCTCACTCGGAGGTACCACAGTTAAAACTAGATAAAATCTTCCCATCCTTTACCGGACTTTCAAATTTGTCGGTGCGTGTGCATGTAGGTCAGTAAAACGTGATGCAGGCTGACTGCCAATTTCATTGGGAAAAAAGTGCTGGTACTTGATTATCTGAAACCCACCCGTAGAAAAAAAACAAAAAACTGGGCGCATGTGACAGTCGTTGACAAATTATGCTGAACTTTTTGAAAATATGGTATTGTACACAAAACTTTGGCCAAGGCCACACATCCTTTAAATGCATTTTGCATATTTATTAGTATTGTCCCCGGGATTAAATAGAAATACTGGTAGTTTGCCTTATCTAGGAACCGGCTCATTCCGGGCCAAAAAAAAGACAACTGTGCAAACAAAAAGGACAAGAAATAAACAATAACAACAAATAAAAAGAAGAAAAGCTTTCAAAAGATTGATATTGTAGTTGTGTGAAAAAAAAGTGGCTGTGAATGCAGCGCAAGATAAATCAACCATTTTTTATGACATCAAAATTGTTGTGTTCACCATATTGTATGATTATGATTAAATGATGTCACATTTGAACATAGCTACATAGGCCTACATATGTACTACATCTTTTTCTCATGAAGATCTTGAATCTCACCAATACATATGCCAACATGTTGAATTTTTTGGGGGGGGGGGGAGGGGGGATCATACTGCCCTTGAACAATTTTTTGAAAACTGAACTTCAACGTGTTCATTATTTTGATACCATATGTTAAGGGTGTGACTTCTTTGTGTTTAATGTTGTAAATGTTTTAGCAAATATTTTAAGCAAATGTTTTATTTATTTTAAACGTTTAGCCATTTCACAAAGGCTCATGACTGCAGATCGGCATGATTGACATGATAAATGAACAATTATTGACATGTGATAAATAGCGAGCAGTCATTGAAAAAGTAAAAATGTTAAAAAACATAACAACGTGTACCTCAAAATAATGTCATCATGTGGTACTTCTAAGTTTTCATAAATTAAAGAGGTTTGAAAACGTCCTTAATTATTTGTGCTATGAATGTTTATCTCTAAGGAAGATCACATGAATGTACATTGTAGGTCCCTTTTTTTTTAATTCTCAGGTTTCGTTCAAACGTTTTCTAAAATTTGCAAACGGATTTCATTTTTTTTTTCGTTTAAATGTGTAAACGTCACATCTTTACCATATGTATGCATTAATCATATGGTTTCATTAAATTAACACACAACTAAACTTGTGCTCTTTTAAATTGACATGTAATTACAGAGATGGATACATTACTCCATAAACTTTCATAAGAAACCATGGATTATAATTTAGAAACCTTTCACATCCATGTGCAGATACTGGTTTGACCTCCTGTAGCGAGTTTTATCAGATTGGTCCCTGATAAAAGGTTTTTTGCTAAATGTACCTGCTTTTTTCTTGAAATTTGCTTCAAGATAGCATACTGCCATTGTGTGGCCAAAGACCACCCGCATTATTCTAATAAGTTTAGGCTGTAAAAAAATTGCCATTGAGCGATACTTTTAAGACACAAGTATGTATAATCATAATGACACAGTTTGATGGAAATCCAATTGTTTGATCAGTCTTTGTGGGAGCAGAGTAGATTCTGCTGGTACTTTTTTTTTTTTTCAATTGGTGCAAACGTTTCTCACAGGCGCACATTGTAAAAGGCTGTTGAGCTTTAGCCCTTGTGCTGGGGTAGTTGATTATCTGAGCTTAAAGGAGTCAGTTCAACTTACCTAACACTTAATCCTTAAACCACCCCAACCCTTCAAACTCCAACTGCATGTTTTGTTGGAATCTGTTGGAGTGAGGACTGCACTAGTAAACTGATTATGCTTTACATGGGGTCAGGCATACCACCATAACCGGAGTCCAACAGTTTGGATGTGGAGTTTACCATATGGTGTTGGATTTTGCAAGCGTGAGGAAGGTTCCTAGTAAATCCTTCAAGGGGGTTAGGGTTAAAGGTCCACTTTGTCATGAGACTGCCAAAATTTAGTGTTGTGTATTGTTTACTTGCCATATATTTTAAAGGTCTATGTCGCAGAAATTCAAAATCCAGATAATGTCTACCAAGAAAATGTTAAAAACCCTGTTTGCTTACATCTGACGCGCAGCAGCAATTTTTGCCTGGCTTGTATGTATTTTCAGCAGTGACAATCTTTCTCTTTAGCGATCCATGTTTTTCACAATTATCGTTTCATGAGAAACACATTTCGAGCTGCAAAGCACGCTTTCCAGACGAAAGTGTCCCTTCTTAACCACAGCCAAACCTGTAGTATTTCTTATGGACATGTACATGTGTATAAATATGACAAGAATTGCAGATTTTCTGAATCAAAAGAGTACACAGCTGTCTGCAATTTGCTTAAAAAGCATGCGATGAAATTATAATAATGTGAAACTGTACAGGCCCAAACGACTATAAAACAATATTGGTCCCGACTTCAGATTTTCAATAGTACGAGAAGTGTGCATATAAATATTTACGCCCTTCAAGACTGGGGTAAAAGAGGCGAAAGCAAACCAACAAACATGTCTTAAGATACGAACAGATGGTATGAACCTGCTTTTAGTTACCGGTTTTCTGTACAAGTTTTTATATTTCTTTACTTAAGAGTTAGATTATTCCGTGACCAAGATTGTATAACGCACCAAAATTTCCCATGCAAATTATATGCGTCAGTTTGCATTACCCAGAAACATGCTGTAATATTCAAGAGCCAACATGGAATCCTAATTATAATGCATCAGTGGTGACCCAGCTCTGCAATTGCATTAAAAAAAATGTCTCCGAGTCGAAAACCAGATGGCGGTCACCTTCCCAGATGGTTAGAGAATTGTCTGAATCTCCTGCCATCGAATCGCTCAGAGGCAAACTGCAGATGATATCACGGATATTGTCAGCTTGGAAGCCGGCCAAGAAAGACAGATATCCCTTTCCTTCGATGATGAATAGGGAATACACCACGCATTTACCAACTGCTTGTCATAAAGGAGATTTGGTTTCACGGGAAAGCTTTCCGAGAATTTTTATAGGATATCAGCAGCCAAGCTAGGTTATGGAATAATCGCTTGTACGGCACTCGTCCCTGATATGCATTCATGCGTCTCGACCCCCAGATTCTGACCATTCAGCAGGCGCCTCCTGTCGTGTCTTTGGTAACCAAATGTTGTATGATGAAAACATGACGGCTATTGACCAATCAACAGCTTTGGCCGAATTTCTGCTCTAAATGACGTCACAACTTCTAAAGGCAGCTTTGATTGGCTGGCGCGCGGGGTCGCTTAAATTTGACATGCACGGATACAATGTATATCAGACGTTTGTAGTGTCAGTAGCTCTGCACATATGAACCTCTGATACTCGGAGTAGAACCAAGCTAGTCCTAATTTTAAATCTCAATTTATTAAAATTGTAGTAATTTAATTGATATTGCAGGTTTAGGGGCTTGAATGAAAATGTTTGGTTCTCTTGATTAATTTGTTACCGTGTGATATTTTATTGAAAGCAAATGCTTTTGAGATGGCTTTTTTTTTTAATCATGGTAATATGTAGTGCACATGAACAGTTCCTCCATGGCAAAATACTTGAGCTATCAAATTACGAAGCATAAATTGAATCCTGATGAGAGCCATAAATGATTTAACGCTTTAATAATTCAAGCTGGCTGCTCCCTCATTACATACAGACTTCCTCAGAGTGCACGCTGGTAGTCCTAGCCGTAGAACCTTTGTTTCCTGTGTCAATCAATAATGGATGATGATCATATAGCAGGCCCGATCATCAACTTAACATTGTCAGGGCCATCGCTTCTGGGGATGCCACCGTTGTGTGGTCAAGCACTGTTAACAGGCAAATTTGCCCTGACGCGTTGATCACCACACATTAATATTGAGACGCTTTATTTGTTGCATCTGGTATCGTTGGACAGTGCACTCCACCTCTTTCAGTTGCAGTTCACACCTCTGCGGAAAATGGAGCAGCCCAGAGGAGGCTCGGCCACTAAATGAACCATTGCAGTGGGTTGACAAACAAGCGGGGTCCAGTATACCACTGTTACCAGGCATTGTACTCGGCAGCTTTTATTACTTAGCCCCGTGGAGCACATGGGTATTCGTGATCTTGGCTGGGCAACAATGAAGTTGTGCGGGTTTTGTTCTTTGTACCATATGTGCTGATGCATGCAGGCCATTGCCTGGTTTTGTGTCCGTACAGCAGCTAGCACACGTGGTTGTCACCTGGACCCTTGATAGTGTTGACTACTGTAGGCCATGAAATTTTAGTCTGGTTTATAGTTTAGCACTGACTTCTGAGCTCTGTTGTCATAAAACTTAAAGTGGCTGGCAAGGCACCATCCTTGGACAATTACACGCTGGGACACTGATCAGTCAACACTATACTGCAGACAGTGGGATGGCATTTGTGGCCTGCAGTTGGCAAAGGCTGTGTTTATGTTTTTCAGTGTGATCAAACTGGGGGAAATCACAATACTTCTGTGTTAACTTGCTGTACACAACAAATTTGAAGTGGATGTAACTCATAACTGTTTGCAGCTTTGGAGCAGGCCCCCGCGTGTTGACTTCTTCTTCTTGTGTGTCGGATCACTTCTCTTGGATTATTTTTTTCGTGACAAATTGACCCGACTGATCGTCCAGTTAAACGTTCCACTCATGTACTCATCCCCAATGGTTCTCAAGCCCCGCCTTAAGGAAATTATGAAGGGTAAGAATAATTACTGTTTCATGCAGTCTGACTTTATTAATATTGTTGATTTATTATTATTTTTTTATTGTGTTGACAAAAGTAGTGTTTACAGGTAGTTTCCAGTAGTACATGTACAATGCGCAGCATATACAAGTTGTAACCCTACATGTATCATTGTGGCCACATAATTGTTTTCACGTCGACGAAAATTAACACACAAACTCTTGTACGGCAAAATAATTTGGCTACATATAAAGACAAGCTAGATCATTGTGCTTTTCATGACTTATTCTGGGTTTCATCTGGCTTCAGTGATGAAAGTTTCACGTTTAGTAATAGTAACTCACTTTATTTGACCATGAATATGTACATGTGTACATTTATTGTTCACAAATAGCCACCTGTGAATTTACATGACGATACTTGCGTTGCACGTACATATGATGCATGTACAATGTACATGTACATGTACGTGTTGGCTGTCATGGTCTTAATTGCTGCGCTTATTTTGAGTTTGGGGACATGTATTGGGAGCAGTCCGTGCAATTTACATTGTTCATCATTACATGTACTCCACAGATATAAAGTTAAAGTATGCAATTGTGCTAATTCACAATATCATCTGGTTTGTGTATACCTAATGTAGCTTTAGAAATGGGCATTACTAATACTTACAAAGTAACAAGCTTATTTTTAAAAAAAAAATATTGGGAAAAATTTGTGATAATTCTCATAGTCATTGTGTATCTTTAGTGACAGACTCTTCAATTGACAGGGCATAAAATGTTCCATGCTTTCTAAGACATGCCTCATAATAGGCTCATATACATCTAATTAACTTTCATCTGTAAAATGCAGATCTATCCTTCCTCCGTGTTCTATCGATACAAATTGATAGACTATTATATTTGTTTTCTCAAAATGTACAGCATTCACTGAGCTAAAAACGTCATCAGGCTAGTTGTTAAGCACCCTTCTTTAGATTTTGAGCACTTTTGTTGCTTCACATGAAAAAACGATGTCCTCAATCATCATTAATCATGTTAACTTTATATCTATATTCGTATAAACACCAAAAACTCAACTCAATGTCCAATCATGTGACTCCTGCTTGTCATGTTCGTACTTGTCCTCATGTTTTGTCTCCATTGATCATGATGTGTATTGTAATTGTCTGTCCAAAGGTTAGGGAACAAAAGCTATTTGCTTCACCCTACACCTAACATTGTTCAATTTTGATGGTTCGCACTATTTCTTGTTTTACATGTACTCACAAAGTTAATGTTTTGCACTGTGTACATAACAACGCTGAATAAATGTCTAGCAATTTGGTATAAACCATATGAACTTGACACACTGCAAAAATATGTGACAATGCCGCTACATTGAAATTACAGGTTTCACAACTCGGCTTCAACGAGTAAATTACATTGTATGTATTTTCACATCGTGTAAACTACAGTGTGTCCAGACAGTTCACCAATGTACATTGCAATGTACATGTACATGACTGGTATGCGCTGTTCTATGTCTCTCTCTCTGTAACACATGAGAACCAACCATCTGTTTCCAATAATGTCAGAGTGAAAGTTGAGTTCAATTCTTTTCACAAAGAGCTCTCTGGTTCTTTTGAAGCTGAGCACATAATAGTCTGCCACCTTATCCATAGTGTAATCTGCACCAGATGTTCCCTATTATAGTGTGTGGGGATCTGCGTTTTGTCCAATTTTCCATGGCAAGGGTTACGCATCCCACGGTATGAGAATCTTATTTTACACAGATGCAACCGTACTGTCAATGCGTGACATCATATGAAAGTGCAAGTTATTACGAGAATCATTTTTAGAAGTGTGAGTACCTTACCAGCTGAACTTAAAGTTGCACTCCCTACATGTGCTGTTCAAGTTCAACAAATACATTTTTTTTCTCTTAATAAAATTTCAACCTGTATGATTTATTCCAACCCAAAAGCTCTTTTTTTCCCCTTTTTTCTTTTTGGGACATCTGCAACCCTCTGGGGAAAAAAAGTTTTGTTTGGGGCACCGACAGATCCGCTTTGCGAGCAGACTGGCTCCCGGTCCATACATTTTCGATACTAATTGTGGGGCCGGAACCAGCCTACCCCGCGAGAACGGAATTATTGTCTAGCTGTTCGAAACTTGTAAATAAATATATGTAAACATGGACCAATTTTTTTCAATCGATACCTCTTTCAATAGTGAATAATTGTTGTATTGCTAGAAAACTAACAATCTAGAACAGAAATCTATTTTTTTTTCAGGATGAAACTCGAAAAACATCGTAACTTTTTGTTTCACTTGTGTACAAAATGAGGTACACCGTCCTTAAAATAAAAAGCGGTATACCCCGTATTTAGTAAGGTACATGTACATGTACACATAAACATGTGAAAGTTCGTGTGACTCTTCCCAGAAGTGATGTGTCAGACCCAATATGCTTTCACTTGCAAGAAATTTGGTTAAAAAACAATGTGCTTTTACATCACTTCATTCACTTAAATCAATGTTTTAATTTCTTTGTAATACATTTGTATATATCATGACGCATTGTTCACATATTGTGATGTTTTCATCATGGTGAGACCGACTTTAAGAAAACTGTACTGCTCTACTCCTCATGTACATTATGTCACTTGAAATAATTACAGTGTGAGTGGTTAATTTATCAGTATCAGTATCAATGTTTACAGAGAAAATATGGGGCAATCACTTTTTTGGAAAACCTCCATATTACTATTAGCAACTGATTTTTTTGTCAAGGCCGCAATTGCCTCAGAGTTTCAAATTACATGTTATTAGTCAGCAGTCAGTGCTGTTTGTTTTATTGTATCTCTCACAGAAAAAAAAGGAAAGAAGGAAATATGATGAACGGGAAGTATTGTCAAGGTGTATTCTCAATTTCTATTTTTAGAGCATAGTTTTTATTACATTGGTCACACAGTGACAGCTTAAAATAGATAGTGTTTTCGTTCAGGTGCCATAAACCTTCATTCATATGTATATAAAGATCAGCTGCGTAGTAGAGTATCATGTACAGTCTTCAAATTCAATGCAAAGAGACCAATTAGATCTATTATAATACACTGCGTCAGACACTTCATGGGTAAGCTGTTTCAGGTATACAGGGTTTATAGGTATTGTCATCCATACTGTGTAATCCTCAATAAGGCAGTTTGAAAATGACACCCATTATTAAAGAGGTTGTGGAATGCGCGAAGACATTTCCGTAATTTTTCGGGTATATGTAGCCTAAGGTGTGATGAAATAAAAACGACTATTGTGTCTGTCATGAAATGAGTACAAAAGGTACTTTTGAGAGCTGTTTTTCAAATCCTGTCATGCCTGTTTCGACCCGAACGTGCAATTTGTGTAAAAGTTGTCGTTGCGGGCAGCAAACAAAACACAGTAAATCGTGACGTAATAAACAGGACTCCCGATGCAGAGTAGCATAAACGAGTCCTGTTTATTACGTCACGATTTACTGTGTTTTGTTTGCTGCCCGCAACGACGACTTTTACACAAATTGCACGTTCGGGTCGAAACAGGACCTGAAAAATAGCTCTCAAAAGTACCCTTTGTACTCATTTCATGACAGAAACAATAGTCGTTTTTATTTCATCACACCTTAGGCTACATATACCCCAAAAATGACGGAAATGTCTTCGAGCATTCCACAACCTCTTTAAGTACTGCCATTGATTGTGCTAACAAACTCTCTGTGTTCATCATACTTGTACCCTGAAGTGTAGTGTATTGTAGGGGGTTAAATGTACCATGTACATGAACACGAAAAGCTTAATATTGGCCAGTTATTAATTAACCCTAACAGTCCTGAATCCTCCAATTTCAGTACGATTTTGCACACCCCCTAATTCCTTGCACACCTGTTAATGCTAAACGTTTGTTGGTACAATTTCATGTCATCAACAGATATCATGTATTGGATCTAAGAAAGCTGTTCATGGCTAGTGAGTTAAAGGTGTGTACTGAGGAACGCAATATAAACATGTACATGTAGTTATACACATTCCTATTGGCGTAAGGGTTAATCATAATGAGCATGTACATGCATAGAGCAAGGAATGTCACTGTTCAGATTCGGTTTGGAAGGCAGGGTTTGGAAGGCATGGCTGGTGTACATACATGTTCGGTTTGGAAGGCAGGGTTTGGAAGGCATGGCTGGTGTACATACATGTTCATGTACATACATGTATGCATAGAGTAAACGCAGTTCACAGTCTGTTTTTTGTTTACCAAGGATTGAAGGCCATCTTCATAAATGTTCATGAAACTGCACATGTACCGTTAGGCCTTATACCCTGAAGCCCTGAACTTTGAAGCGTAATGTACTGGTATCTTTTTACTTGATTTGAAGTACATTCACTTACATGTATTTTTGAAAATACCGTATTTTTGGTTGAAAGTGTCTGGATATAGGTTGAATGTGTCTGGATATATTCACATGTATAACATGTGGCGTCTAAGTTAAATGTAGCTCTTTAAAAATCTGTCCTTGTTATGAATATTCATTTGAGTAGGTAATCGCTTGAATAATCACCCTACATTCATATACCGGGTACAATGTAATAAATGAATGGCGTACTACCTGGTATTACATGCACGGCTGTTTGGAATATGAAAACTTAATTATTCTGCTAAACTGGACAAGTCACTGTGCACAAGGACATTTGTAGTTGGTATTGCTTCAAATCGGTAACATTCATAAGACGTGTCGACTTCAAAGGCTACATTTTTCTGAATAGCTTTCAGCCAGAATGACTGCCCGAAAGGGAAGTTCTTGTTTAACATGTAGTTGGCTCTACTTGAACAAACATGTCGTCTGGCGGACCGGTTGAATTTGTTTCCAGACATAATGCGGTCTGGTCTGATCCACTCTCAGTAGTGGCCACCCAGCTGTTCCTCGATTCCTCATATCCGTCCAGAATAGCTAGCAACTCTCTCCAGACATCCTAGAAGTGTTTCCACGATGCACATAATACTCCAGCAATCCACTCCCCAGCACCCGAAATTCTTAGCCAGATGGGCCCAAATTAGGATCTGGAAATTACCACGGAGACGACAGCGCGGGGACCAGGCTGTTAGTGTATTACGCTGGATATTAAAAAGTATCTTTATGTTGTAAAAGCGGCGAGTATGTAAAATGAGTGACAAGCGGACCAGGCCAGACCCGGGCAGGCCAGCCAACAGATGTCATAATCAGATAATTGTCCTATGGTAGAGAGGAAGACAGGGGACTCCTAGAGGTTTCAAGGGAAAACAGGCCCGGTTGAAATGGCCGCCCCCTGTGGTTAAGCACAGCCATACAAGCATTGCGCACTTTGGAAGGCTTTGGCAAATTTCCTTCCTTTTTTTTTTATTGAAAATAACAAGTACTTTGGCTTTTCTCGGAGAGTATAGACCATCTGCCGGAATGGCTGCCGTGGATTTACATGAACACGAGGGGTAATCTTTTACCCATTAATTTATCCAGTACAGGCTAATGCACTGCATTTAGTTTGGACCCGCTTGCATCAAAACCTGCAAATTAAACTTCTGGATGTTGTTTTTTTATAATTTACCTTCATATTAATTAACTGAAACATTAACGAATTGCTAGTGGATTGCATTATTTTGTGAGTGTAGAGTTCGGTAGTATTAACTATGCATTTGTCATCTCATTATCATAATTCCTATGTGTGTGATGTGCAAAAACCTTCTCTGGAGTATACTCGCACATTATAATGGCAAGTATACATGTATGTTGTCAACTACCGGTATATGTTCTGGTAATTGTATGCTTTGTTTTCCTCTTATTGACACACACACACACACATCTAATAGATTCCAAAACAAATTACATGTGTACATCTTAATTGCCACATAAACCAACCCTGTATCTCATGTATTGTTTGCTGTGTGGAAACAAGACACATCAGGAAATGAGCTGTGTTTCCTTCTCTTTGACAAATTGAGGGAACAAACCAACATTATTGAACTCAAAAGTAAACTCTGCTTAAACACGGGCTCGAGTCCGGGGCTAGCACGGTAAACCGGCTAATTTAAACCTCATCAGTGATCAATTACGTCCTGCAATTACATGTACATGTGTGCCTGCAAAATGAAGACAAGAAATTCATTCTTTCCTCTTGTTTGCCCAATAACACAGCAAATCAAGTAACAAATGTGGGAGGAAATGAAACAATTTGACTCCCCTGTCCCTCCTCCCCCCCCCCCCTTCCCCCCACAGTGTCCTCCATCCTTGCCTCAGTCTGTCCATTAAAGTAAATTAATTGATGACGACCCATCTGCTACCTGGCCACTCCTGCTTGACATGTGGAATCATTCAGGCAGACAGACAACATTAAAGGGCCAGTCTAAATGCTAATATTAAACCTTGCTCTCGCAGGCTTGAATTATTTCTTGCTACGCGAAGAGCCAATTTAGAAAGATTTGCCCTTATTTCTCAAGACTACTCTTACATGTACATGTACATTGTACATTGGCCCAGCTAAGGCCATCTTGTGGTGGAACAAAATAAGAGCATGATAAAGACATCACAAAGATCGTTCCCAACCAAGGGACGACTTTTGAATGAGACAAAGTGTCCAATGAGACCGATCCAAAGTCGTCACCCCGTTACGCTTTGACCAATCACAGCCGTGATCAATGTCTAACGTTTGTGGAGAAAAGTCCAGCATGCGTGCACGTGCGTATGACGCATGCAGCTAGAATGGAGACACGTGTGCACGTGTTTTTGCCAAACGTGCGTAGTGGGCGGGGCCTAATATATTGTTCTTTTGCATTTTTGCAACCATCTTGCCACTGCCCCTGGATTAAAAAAAAAATCACAGCCAGGAAAAAGTCAGCATTCATCAATCACTAAGTTAACCATCCTGCATTCTGAACAGCCACAGACGGTCAAAAAATCAATCCTCTTCCCCTGCCATGCCTTTTACACAGGCTAGTCACCAACAGTCATATCAGATTTAAGGCAAGTACTCTCACTAGTCAAATTCAGTCAACAGACAAATGCAGGCAAGAAGTAGGCACGGCTGGCTTATCAATCACCTGCAGTCAAAGCATAGCTGTATCAAGTTACACAAACAGTCACAGCCAGTCAACTCCGCTTTATGTATAGGCCGGGAGCTCGTAACTGTTGAAAACTGTCACCTGACTGATTTTGACTGAAAGAACCACCTTGCACGGAATGTATGTTTGCATAAGAGGCTTAATGATGGTTTCTAACCCTATATCAATGTTGTGATACACACAATTTTTTCGTGAAATCGTTCCTGTGGTCTGTGTGGAGATGAGTGGATAATGCCTTTAACTTCTGGCCCAGATGGAGTGCATACATCCTGTCTGGTTGCATCATGTTGCTTCAGGGGTCCTGATCAGCTCTGTGTGCGTGTGCAGTCACACTCCGTTCCATATGATCACTTAGGCACGGTCTTTGAGAAGCTGGCATACATGTTGTCTAACTCCTAAATATATGTCAATAAGTGTAATTGGAATTTGGATAATGCTTTCTTTCAATTTCTTCAGTCCAATTTAGGAAACTTTATCAAATTACCCATTGTAAAATAAACTATGTTTAGTGGTTGTGGGGTTTTTTTGCTGACTAGCATAAAAATCCCTTTCTTAATTATCGAGAGGACAAATTGGTTTTTCACTTTTTTGCCATTGGGAAAGATGTGTGTGGAAAAAATACTATAGTGTTTCAGCATTTCATGTGCTAAATGGGTATTTATCTTATTTCTGTGTGGAGTGTGTGGTGGTATTTAATTATTATTTCTTTTCAGCATTTTTATCACAAACTTCTCAATTTTTGAAGGGAAATAAGTTATCACCAGCTCTGGAAAAGTAGCTTTTATTGTGAGAAGCAAAAATTGAAAAAAATGATTTCAGTATTTCACACACACACAAAATCACAATTCCGTAATTAAGATTATCCTCCGAGCCAAATGCGCGATTGTACTCTAATTTTACTGCAGACGAGTGGATTCAAAAACTTTTCTGTGTGCCAAGTTTGTTGCAAAAGTTTTTGGGACAGTGTTGGAATGGAGGGTAGTTACCAAGTGAGCAGTTATTGTCTATCAGCACCTGTGTAGTGTTTGCGTAGGCCTGCAAGTTTGTTCCAGTTTCTTGATTGTGGGCGGTGCCTGAGTAACCACTAAAGTCTACCACAGTGCATCAATCTGACGTAAAGTATCTCACAAACTTTGGTGCAGAAGACAACCTGGCCCTTTTTGTCAACCTCTATCTGTCTTGGACTCTCTCGGTCTTCATCTTAAGGCACTCTCTCTCTGGTCTGTCCTCCTGTCAGAGGAAAGAGAAAGGACTTGAGATCACAGTACTTTTGACCATTAGCCTGTCAGGCTGGCATCCTCAATCCAGCATCTCAGCGCCATCGGAGGCATTGATTTTAGATTTCCTTGGCAGGTGCGCCCGTCCTTTGATCCTGCCAGGTTGACCATTTTGTAAAAGGCGCTTCACCTTTCTGCCTCCTCGATGCCTCGTAGCCACTCCACCTGCTCCCAAACAAGAGTAATATCCGATCTGGGGGCTGACGCTAGGGTGTCCTGTTTTCCCAAACACCAAGATCTGTTTTCCTTTTACATCTCATTTTCGCACTCTCATTTCCCCCGCACCTGCCGCCAGAGTGGATATCGGCACGGTGGATATTGCAACATTAGTTTTCCATTCGATACTAAAAAAAAAGACGAAACAAACAAAAAAGATTTCTTATTTTCACTTCATGCCTTTTTGTATTGACATGTAGATCACAGTGACAGCCGAACACCTGAATCTCCAGTGGAACAGACTACCATGAATAAGCTTGCAACCCAGACGTCACCTAGTGCTGTAGCTATGGCAACACATCCTAGGTCTCTGTCTACAAACTCAGCTTCAGGTAAGGCACTCTTATGCATTTGCAAGGTGTCCACCATGTAACATGTCATCTGCTGAAATCTTTCTAAAAGGTTCAGTTGTATACACGTTTTATGACCAATCATCTTCTGCCTACTTAAAGGGAATTTACAACATTTGCTTTTGCTGTAATTTTCAGAAATTGATGGATTTGGGAGGTTATGATTTTATAGCAAGTATTGTTAAACTGACTCGTGTGACGTTTTGGGTTGGTAAATGCTGGAAAATAAAGAAAAACAATCATTTTCTTGTAGTCTGGTTCCCTGACCCCGCTTTACTTGAAACAGAGCAATTTATAGACGTCGGGGAATTGTAAGGTCAGGGAATTAGTCTAGCTGGATTGTACCTGTTCACAGGTGTGTAATCGATTTCAAAGAAAATGCGAAGTAACTAAATATGATAAATTGGGAGCAGTATTTGAAAAAAAGCCAGTTTTATTCCAACGCTGTTCGGCCGACCAACGTTGGAAATTAATACAAAAAACACGACTTCTTGAAAATGACAGCACACCCATGTGCCAAGATTTTACAGGATGCTTTAGACTGTCATTCACTAACAGTCCAGTGAGGTGTTCGTGATAATTTGGTAGTTTTGTGTTCTGATGTTTGCAAATGTTGTATATTCCCTTAAAAAAACTCATTTTGCTATTAGGCTGTACATACATGTTTGTACCATATGTGCACGATGGTAGTACTGAACATATGTTACGAAAAAGATGAAAACCTTGGCCGACATAGAAAAAAATGAATGTGCAGAAACCACATGTACATGCACGCATTGGTTCCTTGCATCAGTTTTATCAGGATTCTCCACACGTACACGGATGCAATGATCCATGGGGACATTGGAGATTGTTATTGAATATCATTTCATCAATTTTCCTTTCAAACTATTTTTTTGATGTATGGTGTAATCAGAATAACACACTTATGGAAACATGGGCGTCGCGAGGGGGGGCAAGAGGGGCACTTCCCCCCCCCCCCCCCCCTTGGAAAAGAAAAAAAAGGAAAAAAAGAAGGGAAAAAAAAGAAAGAAAAAGAGGCGCGAAGTCATAGTGGTGTAAATTTAATAGGGGGGGGGGGGCAAAATGTCCCTGCCCCCCTCTAAAACTGATCAATCGAGAATGTGTTGAGAAATGCATTTTTTGGCAAAAATATGTATTGCCCCCCTCTAGAAAAAATCCTGGTGACGCCCATGTATGGAAACTGAAATTTGAGGTCTGTTTTGCACTAGTTTATAGAGACTATAACTGAGTAGATGTACTTTATGTTACTTTTCACTCACTGCGTTGCCACCCAATTTGATGTAACAATAAAGTTCCAGTGATCGTGACATCATGAGATTCTACCTACAAGTATAGACAGAATATGCCTGATGTCGTTGTCATTGCGGCTTTATTTATTTATTCAAATTATTATGTATTTCAATTTGAGTGGCCGTGCTATGAGAAAAAAACACTATATAGGTTTTTTTTAAAGATGTGGCTTAAAACATTAGCATTTAATTAATCGCAAATTTTAAAATATTCATCAGAGCAGACTGGTATTAATTTGTAATTAACTTAATTTCATGACTTTCATTTCTATTTGCAAGTTCCAAAAATGAAGATTTTACCTCGCTTTCAATTTATTATTGCCGACTTGTGAATAAAGCCTATACTGTATATGGTGTCGCAAAATATCTAGATTGCCGTGATAGTTGGCAAAGCTCAAGTCATCTTGTCTAGATGATGAGCCTCCACTTACCAGAGACAATCAATGTTCCTTCATCAGGTTCGTTGGTGAATGGGATGCATTCTCCGCACAGCGTGAACAGCACCCCGTCACCCCCAAGCAACGTGACCGGTATGACCCCAGCAGGCCAGGAGCTCCCCCCAGCCTGTGGGGCCAGGCAGCTTAGTAAACTCAAGAGATTCCTGACGACACTACAGCAGTTTGGCTCGGACATCTCGCCTGAAATTGGCGAGAGAGTCAGGAATTTAGTCATGGGACTCGTGGTAAGAGTCTGCTCTTTCTCTAATTTTTCTTTTAAGAAAACTCTGTAGCTCACAGGTTTTCACGTGACTGCCATCATATATTTTTTTGTTCATTGGAGTTTTGTACACCTGGGGTGAGCTGCAGTCTCGCGAACATGTTTATGTTCGGTAGCTAGGCTCTGCGAACATGCCAACCTCAAATGGAGATATTATGTCATTGAAAAACTGTTGTCAAAATTCTCGAAAAAGTAATTGAGACTAGAACTTTTGAACCAGCCAGCCAAGCCCTGAACAGGAGGTTGTGGGTTCGATTCCCACCTGAGTGTCCCACACTCGGGACAACACTGAGTATGCAGTGTTTATAAAATACGTCGGTGAATAAAGGGCAAAACCCAGTATTGAATTTACATCACCCAAACGCAAATTCCATCTTATGAAGAGACTCACGGAAGTGATATGGTACCAGTATTGTATGAACTTACTGCAGATGTAGATAACAGAATATTTCAGCCCTGACATGATGTATATGTTCAGTGTGTTTGTCGGCCATCCTGGAAAACATAGGGAACAATTCAGGTAGATCTTTGTTGCTAACGTTCACCAACACTCATGGCAAATATTTGGTCAATTGTGCAAATGTTCCCGACATTAGCAAACGTTAGCATTGCACATGTACAATCAACTGCTGAACATAAAATTGGCAAAATAAATTTATAATAAAGAGATTTTGAATGTTTTTTTTTTTACTATTTTTTTTTAAACTCTTTTTCTTCAGAATAACGCGTTGACGGTGGAAGATTTCCACCACAAACTTCAGGAAGCAACCAACTTTCCCCTCAGACCATTCGTGATTCCATTTCTCAAGGTATTCTAACGTTAACGTCTTGCAAGTCTCAAGAAAGTAGTTCCACTATTAAAAAACAATTTAGAGTATTTTGGTTTGATATCAGGGTATTGATCTGTGGTCCCGTTTCATGGAGTTTAGCACAGAAATGTTTCCATAGCAACAACATGTTACCAGCCAATATGTCATGCACTTTACACATATTGCTTGTCACTGGTTCCCATTTGATTAATGGATGTCAGCCACTAGTTTTAATGGCAAGAGACGCAACTTTAAAAGCGTACTCGGTAGTCCTGTTTTGAGACAACTGAGAATTATCTTCACTACAAAAACATGCACGCTTACTTAACGTAAAAATTGCTGGCAATAATCTCTGTGTGAAATATCAATTATTTTCTTAACGTTTCAGTCCTGTTCCTGAAAAAAAAGACTGCAATTTCATAGATGATTGGCATCATGTATATATTACGATGACACCAAAAAAGGGTACATTTTATTGGCTTGAAATAAATGGGGGCTTTTATGATTTCTTAATTTTTCAATAATTGATGTCTGATTTTCTTTGTCCCCTTAAGGCTAATCTGTCTCTGCTGCAACGGGAGTTGATGCACTGTGCTAGATTAGCCAAAATGACACCCTCCCAGTATTACATGCAGCACGAGCAGCAGATTCTGGACGGCAAAGCCGTGCCGGCGGAAGGGGAAGCCGTGACGGATATCAACGAAAACGGTAAACGACGAACGCCGGACGACAGGTAAGGCCATCAGCTCATTGGCGGTAACTTAAACCCAATAGAGTACCAAAGTGTGATGTCATTTAGAACCAGAAAGTGTTGTGCAAACGAATGGAGTACGCGCGCGTGTTAGTGCAGACGAATGGAGTACGCGCGCGTGTTGGTTCACGGGCTGAATCACGCGCCAATGTCTTTTACACACATTTTGTGCACGTGATGTATTTACTTCGGTACTCTATAGCATGTGTACTACATTGTATTACTTTGTGTTTATTCACTGATGAATCGATAAACCTTTGAGTGCTCTGGTGGTTTTGGGCAGTAACGGGCAGGTCAGTTTGGGGCGGTTCAGGGACTAAAAAGTTACCGTGCTTTGTCACCCACTCACGGGAGCTTTAGTGGGAGGGACGTATTGCGTGCAGGCACAAAGAAAGTTTACGCGCATATGGCGCGAAGCGCGCATTACTGAATGTGCAGAAACCCATTCAATCTTTGCGCGAGCATCAGGCGGACTTGTGCGCTCGAATTGTCCCTCCGAGTTGTCCCTCTCAACTTTCTCTTTATAACCGTTGAGGGGGTACTTGTTCATAGTCTGGTTCCGTAATCATGTCCTGTGCCAAAGATAATGAGGGAATGGCTGACAGTGTTTGGAGGAGTGACTCGCATTTGTACTCACGGCCAGTGTGACAGCCCCTACTTTCAGTATGGGCAATACATGATTGCAAAGTACAACGTGCTTACATACATATAATTGGTTAGTGAGCTTGTTTACATTGAACTCGTCTTTTGTGGTGTACGGAAGTTCCCACTTCGATAGAATAGATGAACATTAAATTTTGACGTCGTTAGGAGTAATGTACTTTTAACTGCCCTGTGTTTTATTTGATTTCTTTTCCTTGGTGATGTTTCTGTCTTTTGTTGGAGGGACATTCTATGGAAAGCATGTAGTATCCTGACGCCACTTCTTTGGTTGTGTACAAGTCAATGGAGTATTTCCTAACAAAATTGGAAATGTTTCTCAGTTCAAGATTCATGTCTTTTCAACATTTTTCCTAGGACTGACCTTTATTGAGATGACATATGAAGAAAAAAGTAGTGTCAGGTTTTAACATTCTTACCCACTCTATAATTAGCCTTTTTTTATATACATGTAAGTAGGCACAATAGGTGGACACAGTTATAGGAGTGATAATTTTGTTTAATAAGGGTAAAATGTTTTGCCCTAATTCACTCACCCCAAGTAACGCCTTCCCGTTGTTTCCAAAATATCCCCCCCCTCCCCTCCACCCCCAAGAAAGCCAATGAGTTTATTGATGAAACCGGACTTGTACTGGCCATTTTGACAGAATAATGGGGCGACCCAAAGAGAACGGTGCCGATCACAACAAAATTGTTTCCAAAATATCCCCCCTCCACCCCCAAGAAAGCCAAGAAAATGAGTTTATTGATGAAACCGAACTTGTACTGGCCATTTTGACAGAATAATGGGGCGACCCAAAGAGAACGGTGCCGACCACAACATGACGGAGGTCCCCCTTCCCAAGAGGCATTGCTCCGTCAGCCCCGGCAGTATCCATCTGACGACGCCGCCCCAGGCCCCCAACCACTACCCGGCCGCTGCCATGCCGCATCATCAGATTCGTATGGAGGACCTAGCCCACGCCCGGGAGATGAGGGAGATGGCCCGGGAGAGATACGAACGGGAACGGGACAGGCACCCAGGATACAGTGAGTATTCTTGTCATGACAGCCTGCAAAGTTGTGTTCACGATCACAAAGGTTCCTCCAGGATTCCATGTTTGGAGCACCGATCTCCATATGAAAATATATCTGGATTGCCCGTTGGCTGTTAAAAGTGAAGTCGCCGTCCGCCATATTACTGGTACCACGCCAAGAACAATACATTTGTGAAGAAAGATATCAAATTTAGTGGAAATGTATGCTTTTTATTCAACAAATTATTCATTTTCTGTTTTCAAACAAATTTACATGTAACAGGGTAACAAAAATATATTTTCTATAAAATTTGTGTTTAGAAAACAAATTATGTTTACTTTGAGACGACTACATTTTAATTATTTCTGAACAATGGGAGTGGTAGAGACTGGTTCCCTCCCCACAATTGGATGGAGGGATCGGGAACCAGTGAGGAGCTTCAAGCCTTTGTACAGCTAGAAATGGCCAAACGGGCTGTCCATAATTTTGCATTGAGATCAGTTGTTTGGAGGGGTTGTAGGACTTAATCAAGAATATGTAAGGAGATGAATAAGTTAATCGTGATTGATCATCTTTCATTTTTTGAACGGATTTTGCACATTTTTGTTGCTGTCAGTTTTTATTCTCTTTTATGGTTTTTGTTTTTTGAGGGGGCTGGCTAGGGGTGGGGGTGGACGGGGATGGATGGGGAGGGGGGAGGGAATAACACTGAAACAGATGCCAACCTCGTTTTCAATAATGGGTCCTTCGCTCATGTTCAGTGATCCATAATTTCATAAATCCCTCGAATATAGTGAAGCTATTGAGACGGTACTCTCTTTTTTAGGAACAGAGAATTTATATACAAAAAAACACTTGGGGAGTTTTAAAATGTAAAAATGCAATGCAAAGTAGTTTTTTGCAGTTGACTAATATAGTAATGTATGTAATATGACTAACCAAACATTTTTGATAATTCATGTCAAGACAAAAAAAAAATAAAAACTCGATTTAAATAAAAAAATCTGAATTTTATCCAGAAAATCTGATTTTTTGGATTAAAATCATATTTAACAAGCCTGAAAATTGTATTTTTTTTTTTTTCACCTCGTCAAGTTTTCAGATTGTTCATTCAGTTAACATAACAGTCACATCCCTGAAGGAGGGGTTCTCGTTTTTGGATTGAAATTGGATGTGATCCTGTGTATTTTTTACGACTTACAACACTGCTAAGTCCTTTTTATTGTGCGCATGTACGTGTACATCCTGAGTGGGGCATGTGTCATTGTTTGTCAACGTGCCACACATCTTACGATGAGGGAAGGGAATAAGTCTCTCTAGACTTGGGCGTTTCCGTTCGCGTAATTCCCAGTAATCTTTCCGTGCAACATCTGATTTCAATTATCGGCTTAAGTGGGAGAGTGCAATGATGAAATCTCTCATTTCCTGTCGTAAAATTAGCGCAACAGCCCCACACTGATGACGGACCGATAACTCAAAAGTAATACAAATGTAAGCAGGCGGTAAGGAATTTTAAACAGAAGCAGTGAATCAAAAGTGAAATTCACAAGATGAATTTGTAAATTCAGATGTACTCAAACAACACACATTTGATAATCTTCTGCTTTTCCAGGTATTGTATGTGAAGAAATTTGTGTCGGTTATTTCTAATGTTATTTTTCAACCCTGTAAATAGAGGATTACAAGTCAGCACATTATATTTGAAAGCTAAGTTTCTCACGATAGCTTTGAGCATTTGGATCTGTTTTATCCAAAATTTGTTAAGCTGTTTTCCTAAGCATTTGTTTTTTGAAATTTAAACCTGCGATATGAAAATGAACTTGTCAACGATCGATATGCTGATAACTGGAATAGTTTCTTTTACCTCATTTGAAGTAAACATGGTGAGACTGTTTCTCAAGTTAAATAAATATGTCAGGAAAAGGTAGAGAAAACTTCCGCTTTTGCAAGAGTGTGCTAAAGAATTCAGACTGTACTGGCGTAATGAAGCCAGCGCATTTATAAATTTATTTACCTCAACTGAAGTAGATCCGATATTAATGTTTCTCAATTTAAAGTAAATACAACTTGAACAGTCAGACGGAACTTTTTTTTCTAGTAAAGAGTTTGCTACAAGAATCCAGAGGCCTGTTTGCCCGCTGAATCAATTTGTGCTACTCGACTCCCCAGTACAGCACAATAAAATATTAATCCCGCTGTAAGTAAATCTGGCCATTCAGTCTTGAGACCCAAGCCATGAATACGCTGAATGCATCAGCGAATGTCTCCACGATGATTGTGGCCCACTAAATAGAAGACGTAACCGGATCAGGCCCGTCTGGGCATGACAAGACTAGCACTGGGGTTGCCTGGGGCTGTGATTTTTCAGCTTTTGAACCGTGCAGAGGATCAGTAGTGGGTCGTAGAAACACGTGGCCAGCGTGATGGCGGTAAAGCCACGGCCAAGCTTGTCGCTGTTTGCATCAGTTAATTAAAACGCCGATAGCTGTTGGGCATGCATGATATCTACTCATTGTTATTCAAAATTTAATTCTTGTTGTTTTCTTTGTGGTTGGTGAATATTTTGCGCTTCAATAAAAATAACCACCTCTTTTCAACTTGGGCCTGATTGTTCACACGATTTTAATTCATCATTTGTATTTCTGTTTAGCAAGTAGAGAAATGCTCAAACAAACCAAAATTGCTTCAGGCATGTTTTTTATTCCTTCTGTGCGGTTAATTGTTTAGTGCCGACGACTTGAAACGAGGTTAAGCGGGTTAAAGATTCTTAATATCAGGCCATGTAAGGGAATATTTTGTAATGAGCACTTTTCAAGAGAATTCAGTGAGTGAGAATTTCTTCTTTTTTTGTCTGTGTAACTTTGTAGGTTTTCCAGCTAGAGAGCACGTCTACCCCGATCAAATGTTTCTTGACGATAGAATAGAGGACGACTGGAAACATGTCGACACGGTGAGTAGGTTTTTTTTTTCCTTTTTATTTTTTTTAAGATTTCATCTTCGGTTCGTTTCTGGCTCTATTTTTAGGGAAAGACTTTCACAAGCAAAACAATGGGCCCCGCTTCCTGCGTTTTCCTCCCGTAGGATGAGATAGCCAATCAGCCAATATGTCAAGAAGATTTCCCCAGATAAATCAGTGTGAATGTCCACGGTTGGGATGACGTGGTCTGTCGATGAATGAGCCAAGCGTTAAACTGCATTTTGGTCATTCAAGAAGTCACAGGAAGTATTGTATTACGGGGGAAGAAAGCATTTATGGAAATTGTCGACACCGATACTGAGCTTCATCAATGCAGCACAGAAGAATAGGATTCCTGAGACTCGGTGTCTATTCAGGAAGGTCTTCAAGTGTTTCAGATTTGAAATTTGACAAAAATACTGGACTGAAAAGGGGCCATTTTTATCTTTGAGTATTGACAAGAATATGTGTTTGCGTTTAACAGTGTTTAATGGCTGGGTTCCGTATTAAAAAAAACCTCTTTGGTAGCAGAAAGGGCCCATGCAATGTAGTTTTTTTTTTTTTTACATGCAGTCCGTGAAAATGCCCATTTATGCCCCATTTAACCGTATTTTCAATTTTGGTTTTGCCATTTTCGAGGATATTTTGATGCCTTTTTTGGTTTTTATGCTGTTGCAAATTTCCATATTCGTGAACAAAATTGTGGTTTCATTTCAGGCAGAAACCTCAATGTCGCAGCTAATTGTGGATATTTTTGCCGGTCGTAACTTTTCTGTTCTGTGGTGATTCATTGTTGTGTCAGTACATGGCTGTAAGCCAGTGGGCAAACTTTCCCAACACTCACAGATGTTTTCAATGAGCAAACTATTTGGGTTCACAATTTGAGCAGATACCCATAAACTGAACAGTGTTTTCCTGAGATGACATCACAGCAACAGCGCCCTCAGTTGTCTGGAAAAGCACGGACAATTTTAAATGTTGAAAGAAAGAACTTGTCAATAAAATTAACCAAGAAGGGATGTAAAATAGTGTGCGAGAGGAGTGGAAAGTTCCACAAAATATGCTCCTAAGAAAAATTCATTTCATGGACCCTTTAAAGAAAACTGTTCCAGAGGTTTGTGAGAAACGTTTGTCTGTTGGTGGAACGTGCATTCCTAGGTCACGTTTTTTCCCCCCACAATATCGTTTTCCATAACCAATATCATTTAATCATCCTGCCAACACAATTTTTCAAAACTCTGTCAAAAATTGATACCAGTCATCTATACTTCATCATAATCAGAGAATTCCCTCTGCCAGTTACATGTAACATCCATATTTTTTTTCGTAAAGTAATTTTGTTAGTGCCATATTGTAACATTATCCTGAAAGGAACATGTAGACACATGCTGTCTACTTGGAATAAGCCTTTTCGGAGTTCCAACTGCGCATACATAACCTGTGACAACGCGCATTGTTTGTCTCAAATGGCCTTTGACATCATCGCGCCACTGACTTTACAAAAAGGCTGTTTGTGCATTGTGGGTACTGTCAAAGGGCTTTTGAGACAAACAATGTGCGTTGTCACAGGTTACGAATGCGCGCAGTTGGAACTCCGAAAAGGCTTATTAATTTGCACTGTTCCATTTGTCATGCAGATGCTGCAATGCATTGTGGGTATGGTAGAGAAGACCAAACGTGCCCTGGCCGTGCTCCACCAGCGCAGCATCCAGGACCGCGAGGAACTGTCGCTGTGGGCCCGCCGACACACCGAAAGCACCGAGCAGGATCTGAAGAAGCGCGCCGACGACTTGATACCCCACGGCCTGCGGGGGAACGAGGAGCGCATCGCCGAGGTCAAACGGCGGGCCGGCGGGCCCCGGAACTCTCTCAGACTGGGTGAATGCACTTTCCAACATCTTTCATTCGGTGTGTGTCTCTAGCCAGGGCTTTTCCTCTTCTTTTGTCGTTGTTTGCCTCTTTTTCATGTTTGTCAGTTTCTGTGTTCTATTATAGAGAGGTTGCACACAGCGCCTTCGTAGTGGTCAGGTTTGGTTATGCAAATTCAGTGACAATGAAAGTACAAAGAGTCTACTGATGAATGCATGTAAACATATCACTAAGGAACAAAGGCGTGCCCATGGGAGGGCACACTATGCAAACTCTATACATTACCCCTTAGGCCCCCTCCCCCCCCAAAAAAAATATTTCTTAAAAACCAAGGGAAAAAAAACAAGTTACTAAACACTCTTGTTTGATTTTTTGCTGTCAATTAGTTACATGGGATTTATCACACTCATTTGATTAAGCATAAGTATTAAGTCAAGGGTTTTTGCTTTAAAAAAACCTGAAGTTTTCAGTGATTGACATGGATGAAGTGTTAAGTAAAGCAGAAGCTGAGATCTTATTCTTTAGACTTTATGCATTAGGGAGGATTTAAAGGCACATGTGGAGTATATCCTTTGCAGCTACCCAAAAAGTAGTTGACAAATTTATTGCTGAAAAGCATACTTGGTTTAAAGACAGTAATGGCACTTAACTCCTTTTAAAATGATTCTTTCTGGCGTGCTGTCATTTTGAAGAAAACAATATTAGAATGCTATTTCCAAAGATGCATCAAGTGACGCATTTTTGGAAGTTTCCATTTGTAGTTGGTTTGTGATTCGGTGATTCGGGTGCGCACAAGCGTTGACACGACGCGAACGCGCAATTGCTGTAATTCGTCAGGATAGTGCGTGACTTAGCGTAGCTGCAATCGGCTGAATGAGAACGTGTCCCAGATGCTGATTTTGGGTGCAATTCAAAACATGACTCGTCACGTTTTGAATTGAAATCGAGATCCTAGAATATTGTGTTCTCGGAATAAACAGCATTCACTGATCCAAAATGTCATCACATTAGTTGTTAAGCACCCTTTTCTTAGATTTTGAACACTTTTGTTGCCTCCAACGAAAAAAAAGGGTATTTGTATTGCTGTATGCATGAGCACACCTTTACTGCGTTCATTGTTACTAAATTGAAATAAGAAAGAGCGCCCTCTGAAGAAATACTCTAACGCAAAAGGTCCATTGATACTGATAAGGATCTGAAGCGATAAGGACTGGGTTGATTGCATTGTGGCTTCCACGAACAGTGCAGTGTATGGTACTACATTGTCAATTCCATCAGCATATCGTGAAGCTGTGTTCCAGTCTATCTCTAATCTTTTATTTAGTTCACAATTGTTGCATATTTATGACTGGAAACCATCTGTTCCTAGCAAACCTGCTGGCAGGCAAGGCAAGGCAGTGGTACAGCTTTCCTGAATTCAAATGCAAGGGATTTGTACAGTCTGGCTTTGGGTCAGAGAAAGAAAAAATCGTAAAAATGAATGATGTGCATAAATTATGATTTAATTAAGTGCAGTTTGTATGCACTCAGAGAAAAACATCTGGACAAATTTCAGTTTTGCATGTATATAGGTGGTGGTACATATGAGACTAAAATAATTGGGAAAATGTGTTCTAACGGAAGAATCATGCAAGTTAAAGCATACATACAACATTTGCAAACATCAAAAAGCAAAACTACCACATAATTATGAAATACCTTTACTTGACTGTAAGTGAATAATAGTCTCAAGCATCCTGTGAAATCATGGCACATGGTGTGCTGTCTTTTTCAAGAAAAGAGGAACTTTCGTGTCAATGTCCAATGATGATTGGCTGACAAAAACTGACATTTTTCAAATACTGCCCCAATTTACCAAATGTAGTCAGTCCACATATTGTTTGCAATTGGTTACACATCCGTGAACAGGTGCAAGCCAGCTAGTCTGGTTCCCTGACCTGACAATTCCCAACGTCTAAAAATTGCTCTGTTTCGTCTGAAGTAGGGTCGGTTTATCCGACTACAAGAACAGCATTTTTTTCTTAGGTTTTCCAGCATCTACATGTATGAACACAAAACTTTAAACAGGTCAGTGTAAGGCAATATTTGCTATAAAATACTAACCCCCAAATCCGTCCCATTCTGAAAATCACAGCAAAAGCAAATGCTGTATATAACCTTTTAATTCGACTCTTTATAAAAAATAATCGGTCTCAACTGAAATTGTTATTTCACCTCGAAATGCTTGCACGTGGCCCATAAACTTGTTTATTTTCTTTTCAAACAGCGGTGTTGCAATGGATTTCCCTCGATTATTTGACACTGTCTTTTGTACGAAACCCGACTGCTTATTATTGCCACTTAATTTATTAGCATCGATAGCCTACTTGGAAAGCAAACCAGTTCAGGTGTAAGTAAAGTACCCTGCGAAACAGCCCAGAAACGGGCCGATTTTGCCGTGCAAAATTAAACTTAAAAGCGGCGAAGGCGTGTGCTTATTTTCTCACTGTCCAGAAGTTAATATATGGGTCTAGTAACCCACATAGGTTTCTAAACGTTACTTCAGTCACAACAAAGAAACAATGTAGGTCATGTAAGACAAACTAGCAATCTCAACAAGCAGTAAATGATGAACGCCTTAAGTTACTTTTGAACACTTATCATTCTACAAGTATTTTAGTGTTAAAGGGCATATGCAACATTTGCAAACATCAAAAAACAAAATTACTAAATTATTATGAAATACCTTACTGGACTGTTAGTGAATGATAGTCTCAAGCACCTTGTGAAATCATGGCACCTGGTGTGCTGTCATTTTCAAGAAAAGTGGTATTTTTGTATAATTTTCAACACTGGTCGGCCAACCAGCGTTGAAAAAAACTGGCTTTTTTTGCAAATACTGCTCCCAGTTTACCATATTTAGTTAGTCCGCATTTTGTTTGCAATCAATTACACACCTATGAACGGGTACAAGCCACCTAGACTGATTCCCTGACCTTACAATTCCAAGACGTCCATTAATTGCTCTGTTTCATCTTACGTGGGGTCAGGGAACCGGACTGCGGGGAGCATGATTGTTTTTCTTGGTTTTTCCAGCATCTACAAACCCAAAATTTCAAACAAGACAGTGTAACAATATTTGCTATAAAATACAAACAAAAAAAAAAACATCCATTTCTAAAAATTACAGCAGAAGCAAATGTTGTACATTCCCTTTAAGTTTAGATAAACATTGCACAGTTCCACATACATGTATCATAATTATTATTATTATTATTATTAGCTGTGCTCAAATTTACTTATTCACGTAAAAACACAAGCCTACAACCCACACTGCTTTAACTAATCCATTCTTCTTAGTTAAAATAGAGTGTATAAAAAAAAAAGTGGAGCAGCCTTGATCACTTTTTCTTTCCCTGTGTAAGAACCTTGCAGCTGATCTGAACACAAAAGGGCAGGCGACTGTCCCTGTTAGCATAATAAGGTCAGGCTTGTTTACCCAGGTGCAAGCCCCCACCGTGGGGCCCAGGCCTTGCTCTGCCCCCATAGTATTATCAGCCTGTCACCAAATGGATTGCAGCTGTCCTGCAGCTACATATCAACACTCTGGTCTGGCCACTCAATCATATTCAAGACAAAAAGCTGCAGATCTGACAACTAGGTTTTTTTTCCTTCTTCTTCTATAGGTATCTTAAGATAGGGCCTCAACAACATGTGGTAAATCTTTTGGGGTTTGAGTTCTGGACATGTTATGATTGTGTTTAGCCATTAATGGATTGAAAGAGGGGGGAAATGTGGTTAGGAAACAAAATCCCTGCGTTGATTACCGTAATGTTTCGCAGATGACACCAAGTCGGGAATGTCACTATTGAATTCTGTACCTAGGAGAAAATGCAATTAGTCATCTAGCTGAGATACTAGTCTAATTCCGGACTTAGAAGAATTCAACTTAAAGAGTTCAGTTGTTTTGGGAGGAAAATTTTTGGCAGAAACCTGTGTGATTGCACATACATGTAGAAGTCTTTACTTCAGTTTCAAATCCCTAGAATTGTATTTGCTTTTGATTCGGAGAATTCAACTTAACCCGCCGTCAGTCACTGTACCACCCTAAACCACCCTGCCTAGTACTCCCTCTAGCGCCCCAAACCGCCCAAGTAATGGTTCTATAGATTCTTCGGTGAATATAGCAAAATGTAAAACAATGTAATACACATGTTAATAGGTTAATGATTACCTTTGCTTTACAAAAGGACATAATGTAAGGAGCCATCCCTGTATATATCTGTGAAAAGTTTTTAAAATCTGTGCAATTTGCCCATTGTATAGAGTATTTGTTGCAGGATTCTGAACAACTTCCCCCAGTGAGGTAATAATTTTCAAACAATGCTGATCATTTCATTTCTGGAAGAGTCCGGACAGTTGGTCAAAATCCTGCAACTCGTACCTGACGCCATCGGGTAATTCGGGATACGCGTTTCCCGCAACTCATCCCGAATATTAAACGAGACGACCCCTGAGTTTTTCTACTTAACCTGCTTCAGTCCAGCCTGTTGATACCTCATTTACGACGTTTGTCCTCGACATTCCTTTCAGAAGAAGCCGTGAACGAGGTGAAGCGCCAGGCGGTCTCGGAACTGCAGAAGGCCGTCGCGGCGGCCGAGCAGAAGGCCAACGAGATGGTGAACGCCGAGCGAGCCAAGCTGGACCAGGCCGTGGTGGACGCACGCCGGCAAGCTGCTGACAATGTGGTGTCTATGCTGAACCATCAAGAGGACTCGAGCGAGGTGAGTTTCCAACTCTTGTGATTAAATCCAGAGGGTATCTTAACCCCAGTGCCGCCCCTAGCTGCCCTGGCTGTGGTTTGCTTGTACCGCCCAAAGCTGCCCTGCCTGTTACTTCTTCATAATGCCCAAAACCACCCACGCACTCTAGTCTTCTGCTACAGGTTGTTATTCATGGTAGAGACAAAGTATCTTACTGTCTCGAGGTTTTTGGATTATTTCCTTTCAGAAATTTTCCTGAATACTTTGAAAGTTTGAGGTTGTACATTTGTTGAGTTGACTCCCTTTTTTGGCAAAGGACATATGCAGATGCAGTTTTCTCACAGTAACTCACTTGGCACTTTTGTATACCTGAAAACCTTTTCACTAGTCCCAGAGGGCCACCCTAGCACCTGGTGTGGCCACCCTACGTGTACCACACATTTTGTAAGAAAATAGTATTAAAATCATGGAATATATGTAGGCAAAAACAATTGCATCTTTAAAAGGCCTTTTTCTCAGTTTGGCCTTTTTCATAATTATGTCAATAAATGCTAACTTTAAAACAGCAATAACTTGTCAACGAATTGTCCGATTGAAGTGCAACAAACAGTATTGTACGGAGAATTTTATTCTCTTTTCTAAAACCTACAAACCCTCATTTCGACCTCTGCCCTGTTCTGTCTCATTTTGCCAAAATGCCTCACATACGTTTAGGAGAGCATCCGATGTAAACAGTTTTTATTTGGACTATTTAAATCGAAATCTGGTAAACACGTTATAAAGTTAGTACTAGTACAACTCTCATTGTACTACTCACCAGGGCCCAATTTCACGGCGCTGCTAAGCACATGATTTTCTGCTAACAGAGCCTCCGTCTATTTCATGGAAACCGTTAGCATAAGCACAGCAAAAGGCACGCTTACTTCAGAGGAAAAATCTGCTTAAAGTAGCAATAGAAATCTCCATGCACGTGCGACCGTTAGCACACATACGCCGTGAAATAGTGCTTAAGGTTAGCCGTGAAATTGGGCCCCGGCTGGTAGTCAATTTAAATTTTCAATATTAAGTTGAATCAAGATCCCATTTTGTAAAAAAAAAATACTAATTACAAAAGAGTTTAATAGAAAGGAAAAATATCTAAATGTACTGACTAGTGTTACTAGGCATCACCCCAATTACAGGTTTTGAATGGTCCTCCGTTTTGGTGATATTTGAATTAGTTTTGGGCGCATTTTATCGCAAATCGTGTTTCTGATTTTCGTCAAAGAATTAGTTCGTATTGCTAGTTAATTTGCGAATATCAAAGCATTTTTGTTCTTCTGAAGACTCGCAGTTCTTATGTAAAATAGTGTCAGGTGCGTTCATTCCGGTTTAGATAATCTCAATAGTTAAACACAAGAAGATAGTCAACGAGGTTGCCAATCAAAGATAAGGCAGTTATCGGGGAAACCATTATTTGTGGGAAAACGCCACATGCGATATTAGACCGCTTCTTAAACAGACGGGCAGTTGATTTTTTATTTATTTTTTTTTTAGATATCTTTGAAAAGTGTGAGAGAAACGCCATGTTTCACTTTCTGCCTCTTGTGCTGAATGAAAGTGCATTCTTTTTCTCTATACAAAGGGTGTAAATATAAGCATGCTGTACACTGATTAGACCCTTGAGAGATATGTATATTGATGAAGATTCCAAGAGATAAGTATCTCAATTGAAAAACAAAAGACGACTGATAGAATTCTTTCTTAAAGATTATCCAGCCTTCTGAATTTTGAAAAGACTTAGTATGAACAAGGTTTGTATCTGTTAGCTTCTGTACAAACGCCTGGTGTGGCTATCGCGTACAGCCTCATGGTGTATGTATGAGGATAACTGCCAAAAACACCGGGGCGAACCCCTTCTTTTAGCCATAAGTGTTTGCTGGGTTCTTTTACATGCATTTATACAACACACGGGACCTACGGCTTTACATCCCATCCGAAGGACGAAGCAATAATGGTTAAGTGCCTTGCTCAAGGGCACAAGTCACACAAGTGTCGGCCCGGGCTTGAACCCATGCCACTGTTGCCTCTGAAACACCAGAGCATGAGTCCAGTTTTCTTAACCGCTAGGCCAGTGTTCTTAACCCCTAGTCCAGTGTTCTTAACCGCTAGGCCATCTCACCCCATATGTTTTGTAATTACCATATGAAAACTTTTAAAAAAAGTATAGTTGACTATAATTACTGTTAAAAGCCATGCAACTTTACTCAGCTTAGCTGATTTCTTCATTTTTCACTTCACGCTTATGCCATTAAATTTGAAAAACATTGTTGCATGCCTGTGTCGAATGTTTTAGGGTAAGTCCAAGAAAAGGTAACGCTATGTTTTTCTTTAATTACATAATCATCTCAAAGACTAATAACATAAGAAATGATTGTGGGTACTCTCCTTGCAGATGCCCAACAGTAGAATATAAAAAAACACTGAAATCCATGAATATCTTGGAGGGTTGAACTTGTATGGGACATGCCGTGCGCAAATTCTTGGACTTGCCCTTTAGTAGGCCTCTGTCATGCACAGAAATTTAGTTGGCAACTTAAATGTAAAAACTTAGCTGTGAGGTGAGTGATGTCAGTTTGTTTTGAATTCAACAGCTTATTGTTTATTACCGTTTTGTATTTGGCCCGCAGAGTTGTTGGAACTGTGGACGCAAGGCCAACGAGACGTGTAGCGGCTGCAACACTGCCAGGTACTGTGGATCGTTCTGCCAGCACAAGGACTGGGAAACCCACCACCGCGTGTGTGGACAGTATGCTGCGCAGGGTACCAGTGCACAGGGTACCCGGGACACGACAGCACCCCAGGCGGCCGGTAGCAAACCCATGGCGGCGATCGCTGCGTCCTCCGCCGCGGCAAGTCCCGCAGAATCCAGTCATTCTAACGTCTCGACGGCAGGCTCCCCTCCTGCTGCTATCGCCGTAACTGCGGAGGCCGCTCGGTGAGGGCGAAGCGAAGAGTAACGAGACGACAACCAACCATTATACAATCCTCACCAGTGTTTACATTTAAAATGTCTCAACAATTTGTACTATGTATATAAAGAGAAGTATGTAATATATCTATGGAAACAAAAAGTATTATTACTTTCTTGCCAGCTTTCAAGTTGTGTAAAAATTTGGCAGAATCGTTTGCCTGGCTTTACCCACACACCGAATGGATAAACTTCCCTTCTATCAAATTGGCTTCGTTTATGTGTGCTGCTTTAAAGAGTGTAGACTGAAGTTTTTTTGGTTTGTTTTTTTTTTTTTAAGTTTGAACATTTTCTCAATACTTTCTGTCAAGATATTACCCACACTTTTTACCTGTACTGACAATACTTGAATGTACAATGAAATCAAAACAAAGTGTAACATTGAATGAAACGAATACAACACTAACTTTCGACATTTATGAATGGCAGAAAATCTGTGTTTGGCAAAAGAGAGGGAAAGAAATGAATGACTGCAGTTTTTAATATGCGTATGATTTATTCATTTGCGGGCAACACAATACAAGACATTCATGATCGGCCTAACGTGAACAACAATGTTAATCAGATGGTCCTCAGAGCCTGTGAACACATAATGAGTCCGATGCTAGAACGTCCCCAATTCCAAAAAAATCGCAAAAAAAAAGTTTCCCCAAGCCGTCAAAACTAATCTCTACATTTCTTGATAACTTCTACGGATTGCCAAAGGATAATGAAGATGATTTAGAATGTGTATTCTTGAATGTTACTAAACTTAAGTTTTGTTAAATTTATAGTTTAAATTCACCTTTTTTGTTTTTGCATTCGCGCACCTCATACTAAGTTCAAATGAATGTAACATACATACAAACGACCTATCAGACTAGAAATGACTCTTTATAGGGAATCTTAAATAAACGAAGACCCAAAATACACTGATAGTTGTTGAAATAATTGTTTTCTCGTAGTGACTTTTCATGTACTCTGTTGGGGAATGATCTCGTTAGTAATATTACTTAAGGTATGTTCAGATGGAGGGCAGCTCCCCAGCTAGCTCTTTTCCAATTAATGAACTCATGTGGAGCTGGTGGTCAAATCCAAAATCTGCTCACGTTCGTACAATGATGGTGACTCCGGAGCTGGAGTTACAGCAGCTGAAAGATCCCAAATAGGTTACGTAATATTTAGTCCGGCAAATAAATAACGACCGGATGCGTCAGCGTGGACCTAGATCAGTTGCGTTCAAACGTCCAAACGACAAATAACGGTGGAGCTAGGTCGTAAAAAGAAGCCCCGTTGAGCTGAAAGTGGAGCTAGACCCAAAAACTTTGGGGGCTAGAATTGGGGCTGGATAGCTCTGGAGATACTTGCAGAGGCATAGTTAAGTTGCGTTCCAACAACAACTATTTAGGGTGGAGCTAGCTAGCTCCGGAGATAAGCCCCCCATCTGAACGACCCCTTACGGACAAATTTTAACACATTTGTCCCCGTTACTCCTTATACCACCCCAAAATGTCCCAGAACTCTATTGTTCATGGACTCAATAAGGAGTAAATAGTACAATGTATAACACAAGTGCTAAAGGGTTAAACTATCTGATTACTGTCTGGTTGGACAGATATTGTAAGGTTTAGGATAGGTATCCATTTTCTGTGTTTCGAACACTCACTGTGTGTCCTCGCATCTAAGTTGTTATCATACATGTAGAGTGGTATTAATGATACATGCTTGATCATAGAGCAACAAACAGTATATACAACATGTACATTACACTTAGTCCAGTCAATCTTCACTGCCACCCAAACTGATTAAGCGGGTTAGAAAAAAAAAAAAATAGAGAAAACGTGGGAGGCGAAAAACAGCCCGGAGTGTGACTGAATACAGGCCTGTTCAGTATGTTCAAATAACACTTTGACCAGGAGCAGAGATTGAACTGTTGCAGACTGGAAGCCTATACCCTATTCTTCCATTCAGGGATCTACAATACATCCATGTGCCTATTCTTAGGATCCCTCGTTTTCCACTCTCAGCCTTGTGCATGTACAACAAACTCTCTCTCTCTGATCTACCCTGCAGCCGCATATTAGCCCTTTTTTTTATTGAAGTTACTTCTCTTGTTCCGATGAGCAGATGAGCTTGAAAAGAAACTTTCAGTGCCCGGGATGCCTCCCTGGGTCTTATCTGCGACTTGTATGCATCCAGGCGAGCGTGTAGCACCGTTCAGCAGGCACAGGACATCACGTGTAAAAAGCAGGCAAAGATTGTGCCTCGTTCCCGCCCGCCAGTCATTAGCTTGGCTTTTCCTGTGCACCTGCATGGGTGCAGCTGCTTCCTACAGCTCCATCAATAGGCCAGCCCACGACCCTTTGTACTGGGGGCAGGTGCGGCCTATGAATGGGCCAGACCATTTCTCATATGATGTTGTAAGCCAGCTTCCGTTTTCATTTGGCGATAGAAATATTAAGAAGAAAAGAAGAAGAAGAACGAAAAAAAGAAAAAAAAGGTTGGCTAGTCAGTAAGAGCCTCGGGGTAATAGGAGAGAGAGAGGGTGAGCAATACTCGGTATACTAGGTCAGTCACCTTTGGAACGAGCGCCAATGTTAAAAATAGACAGCAGACTTTGCATTGCAAACTTGTTAAAAACGATTGTGTACACTGGGATAGCGCAGAGCCCGGGCTTAGAAGATGACTAGTATTTATGAGTGGTATGTGATTAACGAGCATGGATCATCTTTGCGGTAGTGACGGTTATTGCAGTTTACAAATTGACAATTCCAGGAATATTCCCTATTTTGTTTTTTTCCTAACCTACTGTGTGTCATCGTGTTATTATTTTATGGATCTCATCAATCGAGAACCACTCGATGTGTATAACCATCACAAAACTTGCTGTCGAAGTGGAGTTCAATTTTCTTGGGCTGTTTAGACCTAATTGGTTCAGACAGGTACTGGTAAATGTAAACAGTTAAGTAATATACAACATTTGCTTTTGCTGTAATTTTCAGGAATGGATGGATTTGGGGGTTAGTAAATATTGTAACATGGACCTGTTTAGTGTTTTATGCCATCTATACTGGAAAGAAAAAAAAATTGTTTTTCTTGCCATCTGGTTCCCTGACCCTACTTCAGACGTCGGTTAATAGCCAGGTCAGGGAACCAGACTAGCTGGCTTGCACCCGTTCATGGATGTGTAACTGAGTATTTGAAAAAAGTCAGTTTTTTCCAACAATGGTCAGCCGACCATCGTTGGAAATTGATACAAAAAAGTCAATTTTTCTTGAAAATGACAGCACACCAGGTACCATGATTTCACAGGATGCTTGAGACTATTTTTCACTTGCAGTCTGGTATATGTCATAATTTGGTAGTTTGTTTTTTTATGTTTGCAAATGTTGAATATTACATACTGCAATTTTTTTTTTATCAGAGGACATTTGATATTGTCTGTAAAAAGCAGATTGTGTTTGCCCTTTCAAGTGTGTATTATAATTTGATTTCTTTTCATTTTGAATATTCTTGCCTGTGGTTTTGTGTTGTTTTTTCCGTTTGTTGTGGTTGACCGTCATTTTGTCAACAGAAAAAGCTGAAAAAGTATCCTAAGAGGAGTTTTTCCAGGCAACCATATTCTGCTATTTTTTTATACTTCAATATTAATACAGATGGAATTAACGGTATTAAATTATACTTGAGGGTCAAAAGAATTCTCTAAACTTCACCAAACGCTGCAGTATGTTGGGAAAAAAATTAATAACACTACACGTTTCATATTCTGCACAATTTCTTACATTTTACAAATGTTGACTTTTTTTTAACCAGCATGCCGTCAGTACCTCAATTATGAAGCCCAACACTTCTAGAAAAGGGAGAAAAAAAAGGTCGGCCCTATCTCATAATGGCCTACTTATAACTTGGCTATATTGGGATAGACCAGGGGGCACAGAGCATGTATCTCTGTGCCCAGCTGTCATAAAGCAGGTGCAGCGCACAGACTTCCTTAATCCTAAACCACATACATTGTGGCTTTATTCAATCCTGCTTGTTTTTCACGCTTTCTTTTGTCCGACTTAAGTCCTTAACAAGGGACCCTGTGACTTCTCTATGCACAAATACACCAGCAGTTCACTTTCTGAATGTGGGTCATTTTGGAGAGGGGCGCTCTGGCATATTTTTTTTTTTTTTTTTGACGGCTTCTAATTTTTTTTTTGGGGGGGGGGGTAATTTTTGTTTGTAAAGGGACCAGTCATTGTAGAAAGGAAATTGTTTCTTCTGTGTATCGCGGGTTTGTTAACAAAAGATCTATCACACAATGTGTGAACTGGGCAACGGATGTGGACAAAGTGAGGTTCATTGATGATGCCGCGTCTGTAAAACTCTGTATGTGTTCATAACCTATGGAGCCATTGTGAATGCACACATAGCATCTTATTTGCATAATACATGCAAGACAGGAGTTTTGGCATTGTCCTTGAAAATTAAAAAAAAACCGAGCAGCTGCAGTAGTTCAGGTCCAGGTGTTTAGGGAAGACAGATGTTGAAATGTTATAATTATTGGCTCATTAGCCGACTACATGCACACTACACATGTAGTGTGGATTGTATTTCTGCCCAGACAATTACTCAAAAACTCTTTAACATATTTGATGTTTTTTTTACATTAAATTGGGCCTTGAACTTTTTGGTTGTACTCTTGTGAAGAGATGAACAGAATTATAGGCCTAATGTTATGTACAGATGAATCCGGTCACAATTTCAGGAATAACAACAATTTGCTTTTATTTTTTATTTTTTATTTATTTTTCTTGGGTAAAACATGTGAATTGGGTTTAAACTTTAACTTGCATTTGGCAGAAATGAATCAATTGTTTTTTTACCATCCTGAACTGACAGTTAACCAGAAAATTTCTCTCTTCTCCATTTGTTTTCAATATTTAAGAGGATTGATGAAAGTTTTAATTTGATAACGTTAACAATCTTTTCTGTTACTGAAAAATGTCAGATTGTTAGCCTCTGTTAAATTTCCGGAAAGAACTCCATACCTGGACATCACTTGACACCCTGTGCACAAACCCTATGAGACTGGTCTGAAAAATTCCAAGTGTTTTCTCAGTAAATGCTTCAATATTTTTACTGCTATGTTTGACTATTTAGGACATGTTACGGCTTTTTGATGGCCGATAGGTCACTGCAGGGAAAAATTAGTAATGTCCATGTATGGAATTCTTTCCAAAATTCCTTCTTTTTTTATAATACAACATGATAACATTTTGTTTTGCTGTCCATTGTGCAGTGTGATGCTTGTTTTGGTTCCAGAGAAACTGTGCAATATTTGTTCCAGTAGCTTTGCCACACTGAGAATACTGTCTGAGGTTAATAATTAAAAAAGCCTAAAACAAAATATATATTTTCATTCTCCAAACCAAAAAGTATCAATGCCAACTTTTAGAAGAAAAAAAACAAGGAAAACAGAAGAGTATGTGTCGTGTAAATACACAAACAAAAATGTTTTGTATCATCCTTTGAAAACACAAAAAAAAATGAAAACCTGGAAATTTTTCAACAAATTAAAGTCAAACCTGTCATAGATATTGATTGGGATTAGTTAATTATTTCTGAATTCTTTGATTTTTTTTTGCAGGTCATTCCCTGTATAGAACGCTGCCTATAGTAATATGGGATTTATCATTGTTGGTATATACAAAGAAAGATGACAGATTTGAATTGATGCCAATATGATGCTCCCTTGAATTTCTCCAGGGTTTTAAAAGTAATAGACATCATTTGCAAACATTGAAACATAAAAATGTCAAAATATCATGAAATATCCTACTTGATTAGTAAGTAAATAATAGGATGCTGTTAAATTTGAGAAAAGAGGAATGTCCATCTATTTCCTTGCGATGGTGAGAACCAAGCCATTTCGCTTTTAACAGAAACC